AGAACCACCACTACTACAAATAATGAGACACCTGCGCTACACCACGCAGATGCCTGCATACTCGCCTTTGCCTCGCTCTCCTCTATACCTCCATCCTCCTCTTTCTCCCTCTTCGCAAGAGCAAGATAGCTCGAAAACTGATACGCATTCCTGCAAGCGGTCTGGCACACCATAGTGGCACCGGGCGCTACGCTTACACCGTAAGTTTCCTAACGCTACACTGCGTGACCTCCGTAATGGTGGCGACTGATATCCCAGCGACACCAGCCATGATTGCCCAGGTATGTCCCAGCTAACTTCCTTCTACCACCCCATGCCTATGATTCATCCTTCTTCCCCACACACATCCCAAAGATCTAATTGGAGCATTTACTAAATTAACCCCTCTGATGAGCTGTTATAGGTGCTAGGCGGCGAAAAGCGTGCTTAAGGGCGTGCACCCCCCTACGGCTGGGCTTCAACCGTTTCCTAATCTCTAACCTACTTACGCTAATCTATTGCTCCCTACGTGAATACTTTTCTTTCCCACTTACCCTCCTAACTCCCATACCCGGTTTCCATGTCTGCATCACGAGGCTTCCATAGCTTCTGGACACCTAGCATTTGACGAACGGGCTGCATTGAGTTGCGATCTTGTTTCCTACCTTGTGTAGGATAGCCGTGTTACGAACACAACCCCCCCCCCCCACATACCCGGATCTCTGATCCTGTTGCTAAGTCCGGGGTCGACTCCCCTACTGACAAGATCTCCTAAACTCTGATGCACGACAATTGGACTAATTATTACCCCCCACCCCACCCCCCCCCCCCCCTGTTGCTAAGTCCGGGGTCGACTCCCCTACTGACAAGATCTCCTAAACTCTGATGCACGACAATTGGACTAATTATTACCCCCCACCCCACCCCCCCTCCCACCATTGCATAATCGCCTAATAAGCCTAAATGCATGTCTTTACAAACACATATCTTTATACTATTCTTCTACTCCTGTAATCTTTTCACATTAAAAAATAGTTCCATTATATGGCTTGTTCCACATTTGCTAAAAATCTCTACCTATACCGCCCTCACGATATGTCTATCACCTCACAAATACGCCCCCAAAATCCTCTCTGAAACCATTGGTCTGATCCCTTTACAAACTGTCCGCGAATAAACGATCCCTACTTCCCACGCACCCCCCTTCACTATCTTTGAGTCAGATCCGCCCCGCATACACAGTAAATTGTCGCAAACGGGTAGAACATTTCTTACGCAGTTGTTCTTCTTTCATCTTGATCCGCAAGTTTATTAATTTTGTTGATAGCACATACCCTCCACGAACAACATATTCGAAACTATTGCTGCTCCGCCTACACAAGCTAGGCACGATCAATCCTCCAAATTTATCTTATGGCTCGAGTAGTAATATTGATAAAAACTGTCGAGACACCTATCACGTCGGATACACCTCATAACACCTTGAAGTTATACAAAAATATACGACTAGTATACATAAGGCTGTCCCTAGAAGACTCTGATAATGCGACCATACGGCTAATTATGATCTGAAATTTTGATGTGGTTACTTGGCCTTGTTTAAACAACTGTCTTACCATTGACTGCTTGTAAGATCCGTGCTGATTCCTTCTTTTTTCGAAGAACCGTATATCTGAGAGAGATTCGGAATTACGACGTGCATAGTAGACTGGTATGACGAACGGTACAGGAATGCATATATGGTGATGTTCAGAATTCCATGTGTGGGTAACATACCAACCGCACAATACTAAGCGGATGGTAACCTGTCAATTGAAATACAGTAATATGTGTTACAACTAATCCGATTTTAGCATATAGGCCTTCGACCTATTAATACATCCCGTCCATTCCCTCTCCGACTAAGCCACGTCTCTTCCTTCTCCTTCTAAATCACATCAGTTATTGCAGCTATAGGCTCGAAACCCCATGGCAAACCGCAGTACCCACCGAAAGCATGTAGAATGACTGTGCCATCACCCAAACTTTACCTTCGTTAGATCCCTGGATCATAGTAATTGAAACCCCGCCCAGCTTTCTGGAGTTTTCTTTCGGTAATACTCATGTCACGATCTGATGTGGCAATATCAGAGTGACAACATAATCGTACTAGGAAGGACCTTAATCAATTACAGGGAGGCTACTAAGTCTTGTGTGATGTAAAGATTTTTTATGATATAGCTTACAACTATTTTCACACAGTTTTTATGTGTTTTTCGCGCATTCTTATGGTTTCTTCACGGGTTCCCTCCACACTTTGAGAATGCATTCTGAGTACGATAAAACGCCATATAACGTAATTTTCCTATAAACATCCGATAAATACTAAAGTTGTTCCTCCCACCCTCTACTACATAAACTGAATAATTGTTTACGCTTCGTGGGATACCAGAACAAGCCAGTATTACGTGTTTTTCTTCGTCTTCCCAAGCTAAATACAGGTCTCAGTCTTCTTTCTGTTGATGACCAAATGACCCGAATAAACAAAGTATAGCTTGGACCACATATATTCTACCAACTATGCATGATGGATTAGGTGCTTTGAACGGGATATGCAACTATCACAGATTAACTAATAAAGCAAGTTCAATTATATATTATTAATCAAAGGTGGCGAACAAACCAAAGTCCCAAGGATCGTAAAATGGGCCGCACATCCTTACGACATGCAACCTGTAAAAGTGATCAACCATCTCGAACCCCCGAAAAATTGCATATCATGCTACCATCCCTTACGTATTAATTGGCCATGGATAGTAGTACGCTGTACTTTCGTCCGCCTACCTCCTACCAATTAAAACCCTCGATCTAAACTTGATCCATAGGGTTGCAGAGTACTCTTGCGGTCCTAATTCACTATACCTCCTAGGTTGGAACGTTTTCTACGAATGGTCTGCCAATGGATGAAAGTTGTTCCACTGTCGTAGCCCCACTAGTTATAAGCCGTATCGAAAAATACCAGTGTGGAAAATGACGGCCGAACTTTTCAAATTACGACTACACTGATCGCTCCCCCAAATGGAAGTTCTTTCGCCTCGTTTGGTGATAATATAACCAAGTACTAAGATTTCCTCATACAAAACAAATACGTGATCTCAAGCATACCTTTTACGATCCATTATACGTGGTTTTCCACTTTCCCCAAGAATTATTGCCCCTGTACCCGTATGATAGCGTTACTTTTAGAAACCATGCATGTCTATGTAGTAGAATGTAGAGGGTCATCCCTGGTGAAAAATTGATTGCACATAACCCTGTTGAAATCTATACCAAGCTTAGTCATTAAAATCGTATTACCCTAGTATAGGAAATATGTAAGGTTGCTACTACCTACGTCTATGTTGCACGCTGGCCACGGCCGAGTTCGGCCCAGGCCGCGGTCGGCGGCCTAGGCCGGGACCCCCCCGGCCGCGGCCGGCCCGACCGAGTTTTTTCGGCCACGGTGTCGGCCGATCTGGGGAGCAGTTTTCGAAGCGGGGAGCGGGTTTGGGGTGGGGGGGTGGGGGGGCACCCCCTCAAAGTGACAGGGCGTCAAAAAAAAAAAACGGGGGGGTCCTGCACAAGACCTTGGAAGGGTGGGCCGCGAAAAATCCAGCGGCCCCCGTGTGCAGGTTCGTCGATGAGGGGTCGCAGGGAGGAGGGTCTGGAACAGTGGAAAAATATAAAAAAAAATATTTGACCTCTGCGGGGGCGTGCGAACGTGGGTTGGATGAGGGCCTGGTTGGGGCGGGCCGTGCGGCCAGGCCGGGTCGAAGCTAGACGGGGCTGCAGATGGCAGACCCCAGGCGGATCAGGGCCTCATGCACTGAAAGGTAGGCGTCGGTTTCATTAATGAGGGTGATGACAGTTCGTGGCTTATTTTAAAACAACACATTCATGACAATCATAAGTCAGACCCTGTTTGGCATACCAATGTCAAAACACATTGAAAATCAATCATAGTGCAGCGAACCACTAGTTTCAAACAATGATAACAGGCAAGTCATAGTGTGTGTTCACTCATGAGACTTATGGACATTCATTAACACATCATTTATATAAGAACACATTCATTAGCACATCATCCCTATGTCGCATCTTAAATTAACAGCACATTCATAATGGAGGCATCCATGACATGCAGGTGCGTGGCATCGGAGAAGCACATAATTTGCAACAATCACGACAACAGAGTAGAAAACAATCACCAAACAACAGCGACTCAGATGCAAGACCAATGTTGGCGGAGGAACAAGAACAAAAGCAAATATATGACAAAGCATTTCAATGGAAATGCGTATGTACAAGGCTGAAGCCAAAAACTGGACCCGTAGTCTCTACTGTAGAACCGAGTAGCAAAAACAAACTGGACCCATCGTCTCTGCTACACAACAGAGTAGCAAAAAAAAACTGGACCCGTCGACGGGCGTCGTCTCTACTGTACAACCGAGTAGCAAAAAAAAAATAATAAAAAAAAATAATGTCCACATACTGTCGTCGTCTCCATGGAACAACATCGACATAAATATGCAACAACCCTGCCGACAGAGCGTCCAGGCTGTACAGCCACGGGAAAAACAAAAAAAAACTAATGAAAAAAAAAAAACCACCACGGACGTCGTCATCTCCCACTAGAGCGCGCGCGGCCTCTCTCGGAGGACGGGCGGTCATGCGGTCCTCCCCGGCGCCCTCCTCTCCCTCCGGCACCTGTGCCCCGTACCCCGCTGACGTATGCCGCATGTGCTGCAGCGGCCACCTGTGCCCTGTGTCTGCGGGCCGCAATCTCGATCGGCTCGGACTCAGTGTCTGCGTCCTCGTCCTCCTCCGCTTGTGCAACAATCCCCCTCTCTCTCTCCCTCTGAATCGCGTCCAATGCTGCCTGCCCAGCGGCGACCCCTGCAGCGAGTCGAGCCTCAACCTCCGAGAGGCCATGCTATCATCTCGTCCCGAGGACGCATCAACAACCCCTCCTCGCCCGATGTGAACTGCTCTCCCCGCAGCCTGTTCGTGGATGTCCCTGCGGCCTCGAGGACCAATGATCTCCTCGTCTCCGCTCATGACAAACCAAGCATGCGGCCTGCCATGTGCAGGCTCGGACGTCCGGACCCACCCTCCGCAGCCTGCGTCTGAACAGGCGTACGTCCCGTGAAGACGCCCCTCCCGGCGTCGTAATCCGCCCGCAACCGGTCCCCAACCCGACGAACAGCTGACCATCCGCCACCCACACCTCCTCGGGCTGGTGGCGGGGAACCGCCACTGTGTGCAACTCCGGGTGCCACCGTCCGGTCCCCGGTGTCGACTCTGGCCTCCGGAGTCCGTGCGGGCGGTGGAGGCATCGATCCTGCACTATCTCTGCCGTCGTCGCTGCGTCTGCCGGACCCCACCTCACCCGCATGGGACTCCCTCCCTCTAACGCCGCTGAGCGACGAACCTGACCAGTGAGGGCTCTGCACTGTGAACGGCGGCGGTGAATATACCCTCCCAGGGGCCCGCTGCTTGCCGCTCTTGCGGCTCACGTGTGCAAAAGGGTCATCCGTCAATGCATGCGCCAAAGCGTCGGAGTCGAAGAAAGTGTGCGCTGTGTCGTCAGGGCGCAAGGGAGGCACTCTGGGGTCCCTCAACACCAAGGCGATCCTATACGGATCGTCCTCGGGACCGTGGTCGTCGTCATCGTCGTCGTCCGGTCCATCGTCTCCACCGACACCCGCGGTATCCCCATCTCCACCGGGTCCACCCTCTCCTCTGCCGCACACTGCGGCACCCTGTCCCTCATCACCCGCGGTCTCGCTGTCGCCACGGCCCCCACTAGGGGACCCACTGCCCATGACAACATCCTGCCCCTCAGGGACACCTGCGGTCTCCTCGTCGCCGCGTCGTCCACCACCTGACCCACCACCCGCGGCGGCATCCTGCCCCTCATAATCGAACTCCCCCTGAACTGCCTCCTCAAGGACACCCAAGTCGTCGACGTCACGGCTCCCCCCCCCACCTGTCTCCAAGTCCCTCTGCCGACGCTGCTCGTCCAGATACGCGAACCGAACCTCCCACCGTGGCAAACTCCTCAGCCGCTCCTCCTCCTCTCGGTCCAAAAGGGCATCCCTCTCCTCCTCAGTCTCAACAGGGCCCCGCTCAACGTCCGCGTTTGTGCGCACCTCCTGCAGTGAGGCACGTCGACGTCCCTCGACACTGAAATCTCCCAAGCTCCCACCAAGCCCTATGTCCTTGAAGTCCTGTGTGCGGAGCGCCGACGGCGAGCGCGGGCGGATACCGACGTCGGAAGGAGTCCTCTCCCCCCCACGATCCTTGTCGTCATGTGTCTGGTCTCTGCCTGCTGTCGACGCCAACCTCTCCGAACGCCTAAGTGCCTCGGGTTGTGCAGAGATCGGATGATGGGAGGGAGAGCAGCGACGATCGCGAAGGGGCACCTCCTCATCCTCGGCCTCCCCCTCGGCCTCGCCGTCGCTCCTAACCTCCCAACGCCTGCCTGTCTGCCGAAGACCTCCCCGTGGCTGCTGCTCCCCCGAGTCGTCCATGCGAACTTCCTCCATGACCACCGCCGACTCTACTGCTGCCACTCGCCTGCGCGGTCGACGGCACATCACCAGTGATAACTGATGTGAATGAATCCATGCCGTCACGACCCCCACCGTAAGTGAAGTACACTCGCTCAGCCGTCGGGTCGCGACTCAGCGGCGTGTCATCATTGTCAGTCCAGTCGTCGTCGATGTCGTCGTCTGCCACAGCAACGTCCACATCATCCCCACCCTCCGCCCACGGTCGCAGCTCCGTTGCTCTGCTGCCTAACACGTTCCGAACCCAACAGGCTCAGGACGGTCGGCTGTCACGGAAAGCGACAATCTGCCGCTGGATCTCCTGCTCGAGAACACTGCCATCAGGTCACGCTCCCCACACCTCGGGCTTCACATCTCCCTCCTCATCCTCCTCCTCTGCCGCCGTCCCCCCCCGACCGGTCCCCATAACCCATGGCAACACGTAGCCACCACCCTGCCGTGCGCACGAGGCCAGTTGGAGATTGGTGGCAATCTCAACCTGCTGTGCAAGCTTGGCGAACCCAAGCTTGCAGCGCCTCGCCGTGCTCCGGCCAGTTCCTCTCCGCTGGAGAGGCAGACGTCCACAAGTGCATGACATGGATGGCGATGGTGCGCAACTCCGGGTGGGCACGTCCATGCTCAAACCACCACGCTGCACATCGCTCGGTCTCGTTGTCCCCCCTGCAATCGGCCGCCTCGACATCGGAGAGGTCACGATCTCCCCAATCCCCTCGCCTCGAGTGGAATGCCCTCATCTGGTCCCTCATGCTCCTGTACAATAAGCCGACCGGATCGCCGCCGGTCTGCGCCAGGAGAAATCTGTCGCACTCCTCGACCACACGGCGGTCGTCGGCGGTCGTCTCCAGCGAATGGTAATACGTGAGGGACCGTCGACGAGGGTTGAGGAGGTGGGCCGCGGCATGTGCGGGCTCTAGCATGTGGAGGTTGCGAATGGCAACCTCACGCACGCATGGCTCGTTCATGTCCGTCGGCACGTCGACCCTGCTCATCAACTGCAGCAGATGCTGACTCCACTCGTAAACGACGGACATCATCATCCCACCTCTATCCATCCTGTGCAACAGCTGGTGGATGGGCGACATGACTAGGATGGCGTAATGGACACGCTGCCAAAACTCCCCTTCCCGGATCTGCTGCTGCACCCACTGCGCCTGAGATACGTGGGCGCGATCCCACGGGATGCGTGCCCAAGCATCCCCGTGCAACATGCTCTCCAACGCGTCTCGTCGGCCTTTGAGACACGTCAGCATCAGGAAAACCGATGCAAACCGTGTCTCAACGGGCTCAACGAGCTGAACGCGAGGACTCACCCTCCTAAACAGGGTGTGAGCAGCGCCGTGCGATTTAATAAATCGCACAAACGCTCGAGCGCGGATGATGGTCTCCTTGACCCACACCACTCGCATCCCGATATCTGACAACATCAAGTTGCAGACATGGGTGGAGCAGCGATCCTCCTGATGTCAGGCTCGGGGTCTGTGGCGAACCTGCGCGCTGCCGCCGTATAGTTACTGGCGGAGTCTGTGCAGAAGCCGATCACGTTCTTTGCAGGAAAGAACAAGATGATGGCCCGCCACCTACGGTACACGACGCCCGCTGTGTCTCGGACCGACCCGTCACGTGCGACGGTGGCGTACAGCAGGGTGCCATTGGCGCCCCCAGCGAGGAAGTTCACGAGCGGCTTGCCGCTGCGCGACTTCCTCCCGTCGGAAAGGATAGTGGCACCGCTGTGCCGGAAAGTGGCGCGCACCTCGCTCACCATAGTCGCGACCTTCGCCCTCTGCGAAGGGATACCGGCGCCCGCTGTAACCCTGTAGGAGGGAAACCGGAACTGGATAGAGCGAGGCACTCTCTCTGCTGCCTGCCACACCCTCTGGAACTCCGGACCACGAAAGGCGTTGAATGGCAACTTCTTCACGTAGATCCACTGAAGCCACACGTCTGTGAACTCGGCCAACTTCTCCCTGGCGTACATCTCGTCAATCGTGGTCTGTCAAGCCCTCTTCTCCCTGCCCGTGTCTGGCACCTCGACGCCAGCCTACCCCACTGTCCTTTTCTCCCTCCTCGCGCTCTCCACCTCAGCTCGCGGCCCCCTAGTAGCAGGACCCGCTCGACCAACGCCTCTCGACGTCATCACCACCTCCTCCCCTGGCAGGTTAGGCTCTCCGACTTTCTCGTCTGCCTCGTCTGCAACCGCCCCCTCCCTGGCCTCACCCTCGCGGCCCTCCTCCTCATCGAGGGCGTCCTGAATGTCGTCCCTCTCTGCGTCGTCCATCCGCTGTCTGTGGCCACCCGCGGATGCTCTCGTGTCCCGTATGCCCTCGTTTGCCATCCACCTCTGCACCCGCTCAGCAGTGGACGACACAAATGTGTAGTCCGTGCCGTTCCAGAGTTCCGCGAGAACTCTCATCCCCCCAGCCTTGCAGAACTTCGACTTCGTGAAATGACGCGCGGCCTTCGACGACCCCCCTGAAACATGTGGCCGCATAAGTTGCAACGCAACTTTCGGTCCCCGTGCATCTTGGACTGGTCCCCGACGTACTGGCCCGCGGTGACGAAGTTCCAAACAATGTTCCCTCGCCTCAACTTCGCCATCTCCTTCTCGGACAACGGGTTGAATTGGGCACCCCGAGACCCCCCCGCACCGTTGCTCCC